GAGCGGCCGCCAGAGTGTCTACGCAAGTAGCATCCAACACTAGGGCTTTACCTCTCTCCCAAGGGACCAATGTCATACCGTCGGGTCTCTTGCCATCGTCTCTAAATATTCCACAAGGCTCTAAAACCGAGGGAACATTTATAGAGGCAAGAGCCCTTCGGATGACATCGTTCAAAGAACTGTGTCGTGAAAACCTACCAGCGCTTTTCTTACATGAAAGTCCGTGGAGCCCAAACTTGTCGACGCTGCTACCACAGGGGCACTGATGGGGTTGACAAATCGCCGCTCCTAGTCGGATTCCTACGGCAATACGCAAGCTTTCCCTATCAAGTAATGTGCCGAGATTACTTGATGGTAAAGCGTGTAACCAGTGACTAGATTCCTTAGTCGAAACAGCTAGAAGGCGTGCCTTATCTTGGTCACTATGGAAATTATGAAACAAAAGCTTTTACAAAAATTTACTTCGCAAATATCCGCGTTATAAAATAAAATGATGTGTCTTACCTAGTATGAAGAAGCACCTCCCGCCCTCCCTCAATTGCGTGCACTAACCCCGTCACCACTAATCCCAGCACCGCTACTCCCAACACCACTACACTAGGCAAGACACACCACTGACGATAATACGACACGTGTTTCGCCTCTACACGAGGTATCCTCAGGTGATATAGACTCTACGGTGGCTAACCGCTAAGTGAGCGGCGAGCCAAAACAAGTGCCTTTTATACAGACCGATGATGCAACCGCTCTCTCCGACTTAGCGGTTAGCCACCGTAGAGTCTATATCACCTGAGGATGCCTCGTGTAGAGGCGAAACACGTGTCGTATTATCGTCAGTGGTGTGTCTTGCCTAGTGTAGTGGTGTTGGGAGTAGCGGTGCTGGGATTAGTGGTGACGGGGTTAGTGCACGCAATTGAGGGAGGGCGGGAGGTGCTTCTTCATACTAGGTAAGACACATCATTTTATTTTATAACGCGGATATTTGCGAAGTAAATTTTTGTAAAAGCTTTTATATAATGGATTTCCGCAAAGTAACGCCTGATTCTATTAATTAAATTATGAAACAAATCCTTCTGCACGCCCTGTACCAACGGAATATCCCACTGTTTTTGTTGGTTAACTTCCAGTGGAATATTTTCACCAGGACAGAGTGTTTGCCATGTCTGCCCTGCCTCCGTAGCAAAGCATAGGTCTACTTTATTATTTAAAATTATGTTACATAAGTCACTGACACTATGCACGGAAGCAAGGAAAGCAGGCAATGCAACGCTAGAAAGATTGTGATTGCCGAGGAAATTTTTTGTGACCTCGACAAAAGCCAACCATTCATTTTTTCAATAGGACTGACGCTCGATAAGAAAGCAGGACCATTAATTAATTTTCTTATGTCAGGACCGATGCCTTCTTTAGTTATAGCCGCACTTAGCGTAAGAAATTTTGTTTTAAAAAACAAAAATCCAGTTCTGTTTATGGGTAGTGCTTTTACAAAATTCTTTAGCACGCCAGGTTTGATGTGTAACGGCGGTAAAATGATTTTATCATATGATTTTCTCATATATAATAATTAATTTTTTACATTTTTCTGACTAAGCACTAAACCGGATCTTAGAGACTAGTTCTGTTTTATGAAGTGATCTGAACTGAGAAAATAATACTATTTCATAAAGCCGGTTTGCAACCCTAGAATTACTTTTAGGGTTGCAAACCACTACCTTTAAATCTGTACATACATGACATTTGTGTTCTACATAATTGACTTTTTCAAGAATTTCTTTTAAAATATAGTAAGTTTATTTTAAGTGAGCGCCGCATGCTACAGTCAAGGATATTTTTTCAAGAAAGCATATTACCGTTATGGAGTAAAACTGCCTTCAAACTTCGTTTACATCCGTTAATAAACATTCTCCACTCTTTTGATATATACGATATATACGAGTATGTTTTGATATATATGTTTGTGATGCTGTCATTAATCAATCAACATTATTGCAGAACACTAATCCACCTTCTTATGAATAATAGGTAGCTAAAGAAATGTGACGTTTTCGATAAGTTGTAATTTTAACTCCAGTTTGCAAAGATTCTATTGTTTTAATGTCGAGGATAATATTTCAGATTTTTTTGGTCGAATCTAAATCTGTGACAAGGACATGTAGTTCTGATTGACAAATTAAACGTGGTACTGTATTTTTTTATCTATAAATAACTCTCCACTATTTTTTTTTTACCCCCACACTAGTATTTTCTCATGTATCGTGGAGGCAGTTTACAAACACAAATTGCACAAGGACAAACATCCAGACCCGGAACAATTATTTGTAGGCCATACAAATACTTGTCCCGTGCGGGATTCTAACCCGCGCCCCCCAGTGCAGCAACTCATTGCTTAGCCACTGCGCTACGGAGCCGTCAAAATACTATTAGAAAGACTTGCTTCATTTTCTTTTTCCATAGAACTCGATAAATCTTTTGGGACGTGATATCTAAATATAAATTTGTTTTCTATTGTTTAATAAGTACCTATACCTAATACTAATCGCCACTGGGGATATCGGTGATTTTTTGGTGTTGCATATTTATTGTCAATTTTAGTTTAATACAATATGCAGATCGGTCGATCGACTGATCCGAGTCTGTGTGTGTGAAATTATTAATTTATTGGTTTAATTATTGAAAATATTAAATATTTAATTATACATTAGACACGATTGTTTTTGTTTGCGCAGATTTCCCCCGCATAAAATGACTGACAATTTTGTATCGGGGAAAAACACTATGGCTACTCTCCCCTGGTCCGCCGGTGGCCCGTGTTGCTCTTTGATTTTACGACTTCCTTCAATGCAGAGTAGTATATCCACACATATACATACGTAAAGCATTTAAAATTATAAATTGTAATAAAAAAATTGCAGAGTAGTACATACATACTCTAACAGTGGTACAGCCACGTGGCGGCTTTTGCTGTCGCACGGATGGGCTGGCTCGAACCGGGGTGGTACCACGACCTCACAAAATACCAGCGTGAAGTAGAGGTTTACCTCTGCGTTTCGCTTGGTGAGTGCAGGTGGCCGGAGGCCCTTTTTACTGGAAATGAGGCATTCCATCTTAGTCCTCATGGGTGACAACGCATCTGCATTTTGATTTGTTATAGAGGATAGATGTAGATGTCTATGGGCCGCAGCAAACACTTACCATCAGGTGGACTGTGTGCTCGTTTGTCACCCTTATCCTATAAAAAAAATACACAATATAGCATTTAAAAAATTGCAAATCCCAATTAACAAATTCTGTAGTGTCGTCGGAGACTGAACTCGGGTTGTCAGTTGCCACTGAACTACCATGGCTCTCCATAGAGAAAATAATTTTTTAATCAAAACTTTTCTTTCAAAACATTTTTTACTGTAATACAATATTTAGAATGAGTGTTACATTAACTCTATAAAAGTATTTAAAAATAGAAAATATATTTTTATAATCCCTTTACTTTTAAAAAACCTGTTAAACTAGGTTTATCTAACGGATTTATTGTTTGGAGTTATAATAGTAACATAGTCAAAATTACCTTTACCGTTACCGTTACAGCCTATTAAAGTCCACTGTTGAACATAGGCCTCACCAATATATTTGCTAATAGGGAGGATTTGACTTAGTTGCCAAGCTTTTCAAGCAGGTTGACAATCGGGTTGGCAACAACAGTTTTTTGTTTTTAGTCATTATTAGGGAGACGCTGTTGCCTATCTCCTGATTTGTTTCCCTCTGTCGCCTTATAATATTCTTGTACCGCCACTACACTGTCGAAGTACCTACTCAACCAAAACCATGGAAAATATTTCATGTTTTATGTCGCTGCTACGAATTAAATTTGTTTTGACACAATAACCTTATTTAATGATTTTTGCCTAGTTAACGTACGTAAACGTACATTTATACAGGCGCTTTTAGGCTAGGTTCACACCGTACAAACAACGGACTGATGACTTGATACGTTTTCATTCGTGTAAAATCGAACAGCCGCAGTTTTCACACATTTGTCATAGTGAGTCAGGGATGGATCCACGCTTAGTGGTATTTTTATATTGGTATCAAGGGATTCGTCGGCTAGAAAACAGAGGGTTTTGGGTACATCCTATAAATCAAGAATCACTGCATTTGAAAAGTTTTACGATAAACATAGAAACTATGGAAAAAAGTTCTTTAATTACTTTCGGATGAACAGTGTACCATTTTTTGCAGTACAAATGACGTATTAATGGTTCTATGTACAGTGTATGTGTAAATAGTGGTATTTATTCGTTAAGGCATATACTGTAAAAAACGTACAGGACAATGCCGTGTGAACCTAGCCTTAGGCAGCAACTATAAACGTGATCAAGTTTTCAAATGGGCTTAGAATGTGAAAGCAATGTTACCATTCTACATTTTAAAATTCTCGGACAAATACAATATATTCAACTAGCTGCAATGCCCGGCGTTGCCTATCGCATTAAGCCTACGAAACTAAGACTCACCTTTTTCAGGTTGGTGATAAGAAAATATTTCAAAGCTATATCGATATGTTTTTCAAAGTTGTTACAACCTAGTTGCAATATCTGCCGGAGGTAGATAATATAATAATGGACAACTTAAATTACGACACCGACAGGATGTTTTGAATGTGAATTTGTTTATTCTTTTTAGTTCTATGAAGTCGGCTCTTACTCTTCATTAAAAATTGATTTTTTCCCTTTTCAGTGGACTGAAGAAAATCACACTCTCAATCTCGTCTTAACCATCTACAATCTCTTTATCTATACACGGACAATGAAACAAAAATTCTAACACGTATTCTGGATCGATCTGTTAAAACCCCTAATGGTTAATATGCATTTCCCAAACGCAATACTTGTTAACACTCTGTTTTCTTAATTTAAATTTTAAACCACAGGAAATATCCCTACTTTAACAAAATATCTGGAACTAACGTTGAAAAGAACCGGTCGCTTACTTTGTGAGAATCTTCTAACAAGAGTTTGACTGCACGCTCGGGTGGACGCTTGGCGCGTTAAATTTTTAAATTCGAATGATGGCTTACTCGTAACATAGTTTTCGAAAGAGATTTCAAAAATGATGTGATAATTCGCGTAGTATTTTAAAATTAGATAATTAGATAAAAATTAGAAAAATTCGAGTTTTTATGTGATAAAGTTGTTAAAAAGTGCAATATGAATAGTGCATTACCTGTTCTAATTATAATAATGATCTGTGCCGGAATAAGTAAGTAAAAAATTACATATTATTTTCTATATATTTACTTTACTGTACGTTAAGTAACTATTTTATTTCAAATGAAATATCCAATCGCATGGTAAAGTTAGAAGTTGTCACCATTCAGTTTTCGTCTCAAAAACTCAAGCGTGTCCTTTCACTACAAAAAGTAGCCAGATCATTTCGGCTCCTTCTTTCAAGATGTATTATTATTAGAGTACACCAACCACCTTCATTTGTTTGGGGTTAAAATTTTCTCGAACCTGAACTTTGGGTGATTCACTGAGTCTAAGCGGCAGCGACGGACTTAGGTTTCTTTGCAAAGGTGTGGCAGTAATTACACTAGGACAGCAACTTACTCTAGCGTAAGTCTAGCCCTAGTGAATAGAGTATTAGTGCCACTTATCTACAGGTACTGAAAATGCTATTTAACAGCTTTAAATTCAACGCAAAGGCATGCTAAGATACTTAGTAGTCTGGTTTCTTTTAATAGAATTATGGTGACAAACGAGCACACAGTCCACCTGGTGGTAAGTGGTTTTAAAATGTGGAATCAAAAGATGCGTTGTAACCCGTGAGGACTAAGATGGAATGCCTCGTTTCCAGTAAAAAAGGGTCTCCGGTTCTCTACTCTCACCATACGAAATACAGTAGCGTTATGTTGTTATTTTTCGCTTGTATTCTGTGAGAGCGTGGTCCTTCCCCGGTCGAGCCGACCCATTCGTGCTACAACTATAAAAGTAATATAGCTGCAGCATGGCTCTACCACGTAATAAAAAGCCAATCTTGCCAGTCTCGAGTAAAGGCGAAAAATAGTCAGCCTTTGAGTGTTCCACAGGACACATTTCGAAAATCTTGCGTAGGAATTGCATGAATTAATACCTCCTTCTTCTTTCCATCATTGGACAACAAGACGCTCGGCCATTTTACACCCCTTTGTTATCGACATACCACGCATCCTGATCAAACGGCTAGCTTAGTCTAAAAATTATGTAATTAAGTGTCGAATGGAATTGGTTTAGTCGATATCATATTTTGTAGTCATGTATTCACACTTGCGTACTTTTATAAGCAGTAGGATCGGTCTCTAGGAACCTCAGTTCTATATTCGATAAGTTTTATTATCAAAAGTTTATTGGATGACAAAAAATTTAATTCTTGAGTTATTTCATATAGAAACGACTCACAATAAAATCAAACTGTAATCAACAAGCTTCATTATGAAACTGTTTGTTCCATTGTTGTGGAGGATGAAAGAAAATACCTTCCATTACATTTCCCAAAAAGATGCTTAGTAATTTTCACTTCATTTTTTTAAAATATTTGTTGTGTATTTTCTAACGTAGTTATTAAACACTTTTATAATCATTGTATTTAATACATAAATGTTGAATTATTTAAGATAAAAATTCAATAGGTATAGTTATGATACATCTATGATTTTTTTTATTAGTATTATATTTGATAGTAATATGTATTTAAAGTAAAATGGTATGTCAAAAGTCCCAAAGAAATTGGGGTGACTGTGGCCCATAGACATCTACATCTATCCTCGATTACGAATCAAAATGCAAATGCGTTGTCAGCCGTGAGGACTAAGGTGGAATGCCTATTTTCCATTAAAAAGGGTCTCCGGTGACAAACAAACAGAACGGAATAAAAACTTCTTGTACTGCAGCAGATTCCGAAAACTTTTTCCCCCACTTCTATATTGCGATTTAGTGTTTTCTAACAGGTTGTATTATATTTCACGTATAGCACTTTAGAAAAAATTATACATCAATACTTTAAGAAAGAATAATTTAAACGTGGTAGAGCCATGCTGCAGCTATATTGATCGCATAGTTGTAGCATGAATGGACCCATTCGTGGGGGGACACAGGGCCAGCCAGGGCCACGCTCTCACAGAATACTAGTAAAATAGCAGCTTAATGGTGTTGTGTTTCGTATGGTGAGTGTAGAGAACCGGAGATCCTTTTTACTGGAAAAGAGGCCTTACACCTTAGTCCTCACGGCTTTCACCGCATCTGCATTTTGATTCGCAAACGAGGATAGATGTAGATGTTTGGGCCACGTAACCACTTACGGTAAGTGGTTACTGTGGTGTGGTAAGTGACTTACCATAAGGTGAACTGTGTGCTCGCTTGTCCCCCTTATCATATATAAAAAAGAAGAAAAAAATATTTACGACAGCAATATTGCAATTGCAGAAGTGTTAAAAATGGAAACAAAATTGTTAGTCCAGTACAACAAATGTCATTGACCATGCCTCTGACAGGACAGCCGGTGAAAGTGGTCCTTATGCGACTTCTCTTTCTATATCCTATGAAAATATAATTACAAAATACTGATTTTTTACTTGATATTATTGAGACACACGGAAAAAGTAGTCTAAATATTTTACGCTCTATCGGTTTCCGTGCTAGAATCAATTTAATTTCACTTTCGCTTAGGGTAACAATAAAATATCAATACTTTTCCTACTTCTCTAATGCTATGATATTCACTTTTTTATTAATTAAGGTAGAGACTTCTTTTTTATTTATTTTTATTTATTGATACTATATTGATGCTTTATTGCAATCACCTTAAACAAAAGGGTCATAAAGGATGGACTTAATGCCGTTTGGCGTTCTCTCCTAGATGTAGTAAAATTTAATGGTAAGCGCGAAAGGATACAAAAAATATATTACAAGACAATTAAAACAATGAAAATAATTATGACAAAATGACGATAAAGTTATACCTGTAAAATGCATTTCACAAAGTGGAATGGACGCTTGTTTGTCACCTATACGTGGTAGAGCCACCTTGCAGCTATATTATGGTTGTAGCAGGAATGAGTCGACTCGATCTGGGAAGAACAATGCTCTCACGGAATACCAGCGTAAAGTAGCAGCTTAATACGTTTATTAAGTGAACTTTTATTTTATTCGATTGCAATTGAATGTTTGCACATTTTTATACCGTCAACTCGGCCAATCTAAATGTAATTAACATTATTAATTTTGGCTCGTGTGACTCTTGTTAAGTTTTACCAGAATGCTCTAAGAAAATATTCTTTTCCTTTTTACGTTGTATACCTATACTACATATTAAATTTCCTTTTGTTCCTTTGTGTAACGTTTTGTAGCCTGAATTGATTGACAAAAAATGATGTGCGAATATCCATCTTCTTCTCCGGTACATAAAGTGTTGATAAACTACACATTATGCTAATAATGTCATTAAGGCGCTCGTAAATAGTTACAAGATTCTCTTGTGCATTCTTGCAAACTTTGCAGTTTTTTAATGAACGAGCTGTACTGTTGCCACGTTATTTAATGAATACCTATAATATTAATCGATTAAATTTCCTTTTAAGATAATTTAAAACAGCTGAATCTGCAAACTCCTAAGCACAAAACTCTTGTTAATATTTTACATCTGGTATATGGACGGTGTAGTGATGGTGTTAGACAATTTACTATCCCAAGTCATCGCGGGGGTGTCGTAAAAGACGATAGAGGGAAACTGAGGTAAAATATGTGCAGCAGTATCTTTCTGATAACAGCGGTTGCCAACCCGCTCGCCAACCGCCTCAACTGTGGCAATACACCCCCATGATGAGAGATATAAAAGGATGGCCACTATTCCTGACCATGGTAACGGTTGGGCAAGGTGTGCTAAGAATCTCCGGTGGAGTTTAGGTTGCCACCTAAGACGACTAGAGCTGGCAACATATAACGCACGCATCCTGAGGACTTTTTTATAGAGGAGTAAGTGACTACCGCCACTTTGAACAACCGCAACACCAGGGAGATTGCATGTGCGTTGCCGGCCTTTTAGAAACGAGTATGCTCTTTTCTTGAAGATCCCTAAGTCGTATCGGTCCGGAAAAATCGCCGGTGATAAACGATTCCACAGAAAAGTTGTACGAGGAAGAAAAGTCGTAGTAAAACGCCCAGTAGTAGACCGCCAAGCATCCAGATGGATTATATCATGAATTTTAACGCGATGTGCGTTCATGAAATTTGGCGGCTGGAATTAATCCGAACCATTTCTCAGCAAGGGCAGGTCCTTGAAACTGAGGAGATACGACAAAGGAGTTTTTTAAGCGATAAACGCGCAAACTTTTGTCTTCTGGGGATTGAACTGCACAATTTCTCGGGAAGCCCATAGGAAGGGAGCTCCGAAAGAAAAGCTTTGTGCCAGACCCGATCGAAGGCCTTTGCTATGTCCAAACTAACAGCCAATGCCTCCCCCTTGGGCTCTACTGCCTCCGCCCATCTATGAGTCAGGTAGACCAGAAGATCACCAGCTGATCGACCCCGACAAAAATGTATTGGCGATCACTAATTGGACCGGAACGGAAACGGAAAAGGACTGACGAAAAGATCCTGGAGCCGGAAGAAGAGATAGAAAAGTTGCGCTGGGATATTATAGGAATATCTGACTTTAATACGTGGTAGAGCCATGCTGCAGTTATATTAGTAGTATAGTTGTAGCACAAATGGGTCGGCTCGACCGGGTAAGGACCACGCTCTCACAGAATACCAGCGTAAAATGGCAGCTTGACACTGCTGTTTCGTATGGTGAGTGTAGAGAACCGGATACCAATTTTACTGGAAAAGAGGCATCCCACCTTAGTCCTCACGGGTGACGACGTGTCAGCATTTTGATTCTTTATTGAGGATAAATGTAGATGTCTATGGGTCACAGCAACCACTTACCATCAGGTGGACTGTGTACTCGTTGGTCACCCTATCCTAAAATAAATAAAAAGGTCCGAAGAGAGGGGGAGGACACGATAATCCTCGAATCCGGCGACTTGTACTTGGACCATCTGTCCCAATGAGGTGTAGGATTTATCGTCTACAAGTCTCTCGTTAACAACGTTGTGAGGAATGGAAGCGTGTTTGAGGGTTGCGTGTGTTATACACAGAATAGACAAACGGTATTCGCTAAACGCCATACAGGTTTACGCACCAACCTCGGCACATCCCGATGAGGAGGTGGAGGAAATGTATGAGGAAATTTCTAGAGCCATGCATTCCTCGAAAACTCATTATTCGGTGTTAATGGGAGACTTCAACTCCAAAACTAGGCGCAAATGAGAACGGTGAGCTGAAAGTAGGGAAATTCGGGATAGGGCAATGGAATCCAAGGGGCCAGCAGCTGGCCGACTTTCTTTTTTTCAGAATCAGCCTCGGACCTGGTAGAACCCCGAAGGTTCAAGAAAAAATGACGTTGACTTCGTTATGACGTGTCTCAGTGCAGTGATGTCTCATTGATCGTGAGGGTGAAAACTGGCAGCGATCACCGATTTCCGAAGTCGGTTTTCGAAAAGGTTTTAGCGCCATAGACCACATACATACTCTTTGAAAAATTGTACAGAAGACCGACAACCGATGGGGAAGAAAAGTTTTCTATATAGCCTTTCTAATAGCCTCGTACCGGCAGGCTAAGTGTAGGGCGTCCCCCTACTAGATGGAGTGACGACTTGATAAGACAAGCAGGAAGTCAAAGGATGCATGTGGCTCGGGACCGTGCTTTGTGTCATTCCTTGGGAGAGGCCTATGTTCAGCAGTGGGCTTATGAAAAGCTGTAATGATGATGATGAGTAAACTACGGCTGCGAGCCCGCCTACTAAGCGTCACAACTATAGCAGATATTCTATGAGACAATTTAATGGGGAGGCCTATACATATATTTCCCAAGATTATCTAGATAGGGACGACCCTGAAACGTTTATATATTTTTTCTAAAAGCCGAGTGATGTTTTGTAGCCCTGGTAATGTAGATATTGCACACTGACTGTTTGTGCAGTTCCTGCTTATTTCAGCTAGGTAGGCTTTTTGTAGTATCAATTAATGAATTTTCGAATAACTTATCTACTTATAATTTACTTAAGTATCATTGAGTTATCGCGAAGATTAAGATGATCAAGGATATTATTGCCATTTGCGACAATGTAATCATTGATCATCTGAATCTTCACAATTGAGTAGTAAGAATTGAACAGTTACAATAACTGTTTAAGTGGATGGAGAAATGTAGGCAAATGTAACGTAGTTGTACACGATGTGAAATAATTGCTATTACCGTTAAGATTTTCGATTTTACTGTGGTAACCTAGAGTGTAATTTGTTACAGCGTCTGACGCAGAAGGCAGCTTAATGTCGATGATGGACTTCCGCTATTGGCGGTGCGTCATGAAACGACAGTGGAAGTGTCCAGACAGTGAGGTCAACTTCTTTTTGTTTACACCGTAAGTATAAAGGGGAAGAAAAGATAAATAATACCCAAAATTTAAAAAAGTCGTTGCGAAGTTTTCGAAGGCTCTTCGAATGTATAAAATAATAATAATAATAAAATCATAAACATGTATTATAATCCTAACCTAGGTTACATACTTAATCTTCCTTAACTTACATAGCCCAACTCAGCTGCATCTTAACCTACTGTTGCTGATATTACTTCTTTCGAATTTTAACTCACTTCAAAAAAACGTAGAGGTTCGCAGAATGTCTGTTTTTTGTGTATGTTACGCGATAATATAACGCAATTGTGGACCGATTTTAGTGATTCTTTTTCTATTAAATATATTATAGTTCAGGGGTGATATATTGATAAATTATATAGATAAAAATATAGACAAATTTGGTGTATAAATATATAGATAAATTTGGTGAAAAAAATCCATGGGTTAATATTTTCCTTTGTAAGCGCCAAATTCAGAAGCTATTTTGACAACTTGGAAATTATTTTATTATTTTTAGGTTTACTAGTTAAATATAAATTTTTAAGAAAGTTTCTCTTAACTTTCTCTTGTCATAGTTATTTTAATTTTTAGTCGGAATTTACTAGACCTAGTTTTAGTCGACAGCAGGCCTTACACTTATGGGACCTATACACCATCGGCTATTATGTACGAATTCTAGCGATCACGATCGTTTAGAGGGCATAATCGCCTGTAACTGCCCATGATCGGTAATGATCGATCATAATGGCAGCTATGTCGGTTTTCCAAACAAACATCAAAGGAAGTTCGGCCATGATCGTGGGTGCGTCTACATGATCGCCGAATGTCGATGCTCTATAAACTTAGTTAACATACTCCGAAATAGAACAAGTAAAACTATAACGACTTCCTTTTTTCACAACTCTGTTATGGTCTACTTTTCAATAATAGTTATATTATAAACTAATTAAATAAATAGCGGCAGCTACTACTGTTTTAACGTCCATCTCGGACAGATGACAAAACAAATGTAGGATGCACGATTGTGTGGGCATCCGCGCAATGATTGTTACAATCATGCCCCATTCTGTGTTTGTCAATCGTGGCCGATGGTGTAAAGGCCCCATTAATTTAGATATTAATTCATCAAATATCAATTTTAATGAACCACAAGCGACTGCGAATAATAAAATGAAATAATTCGTCCGGATATCGCATCATTAGACTTCTACCTTTTTATAGAGCTGTTGCTACTTCAATATGATTTTCTTTGTTTCTTTTTCTTCGTTTTACGTTTTAAAACCATAAATCCGATCATGCTTAACTCTGTGTTCGTTTTTATATTTTTAATTTGGTACTTAAATGCTATTCGTACCGTATGAAAAATATTGATGAGAAAATCATTTAATAACACACATCTCTTGATCACACATGTCTCTGCCTACCCTGGATAACAGGCGTGAGAGTTTATATATGTATGTATGTATGTATGTTTATAATATTATACAACATAATGTATAATCATGGGTATATATTAGGTCCTTACATATGAAATTAGCGTTTTGTCGTACTGACCACTTTGATCTAAAATATCTCCTCTTTGGTTAGGAATTCCAAATTCAAATTTATAAATTCATTTAGCTGGTACATTTGAGTTTTGAAAACATTCGTTTATTTGTTTTTTCCTCATTATTTTTTTCTTTGGCGTCGCTTCTTACCGCACAATGGAAAACGTTAAATATCGGTATATTTACGAGTACGAGTTCTATCGTGGCACCAATGCTGCAGAAACAGCTCGAAGGATTAATGATGTGTACGGTGCTGGTGTCGCAAAAGAAAGCACGGTACGTTTTTGGTTTCAACGTTTTCGTTCTGGAAATTTCGACCTTCAGAACCAACTCCGTGGACGGCCGGAGACCAAAGTGGAAAATGAAAGTAAAAAAACTTGAACGATGGGTACCTCATGAATTGAGTGAATCGAACTTGCAAAGACGCGTCGACTGCTGTGTTACTTTGCTCAACCGACACAATAATGAAGGGATTTTAAATCGAATCATTACTTGCGATGAAAAGTTGATACTGAACGATAGTGAGAAGTGCTCGTCGCAATAGCTGAACCCTGGAAACCCAGACAAATCCTGCCCTAAACGAAAATTGACTCAGAAAAAGTTACTTGTGAGTGTTTGGTGGACTAGCGCCGGTGTCATTCACTACAGTTTTCTAAAATCTGGCCAAACGATTACGGCAGATATCTATTGTTAGCAACTGCAAACGATGAAGGAAGAACAACGGAGATTGGTCAATCGCTCTAGGCCACCGCTGCTTTACGATAACGCAAGACCACACACTGCACTACAAACAACCACTAGGTTAGATGAGCTATAATTAGAATGTCTGCGACATCCAACGTACCTTGAACAGATTATCATTTTTTCCGGAATTCAGACAACTTCTTACAAGGAAAAAATTCAACTCCGATGCAGCAGTCCAAACTGCCTTCAAAGAGTTTATTGATTCTCGCCCCCATGATTTTTTTAGTAAAGGGATCAATGAACTACCTATAAGATGGCAAAAGTGCATAGATAACAACGGTGCATACTTTGATTAATTAAATATATTTTACAAAAAAAATTGACTTTATATTCCTCCCGTACAAAACGCCAATTTCATATGTAAGGTCCTAATATATATCTCGTGTAATTTTTATAAATTTTGTATGTAATTAAACTTTTGTAAAAGTTAATAAAACTGAAATTATAGTGAGGTAATTTATGTATTAAAGAAATGTTCTGTGAATAGGGAGCGACCGTATTCACAATGGATCGATGTCCGGCACGGAGATCTAAGCGAGTATGGATGGAAGGTGACCAGGAAGAACGTCCTCATTGTACATGGCTTCAACGGGACTCACGCCAAAACGCCCATATCTTTCCTAAGAGATGGTATGGAATCTTTTATTTAAAAATATTTTTAAACAAATCATGAGTTGTTGGTAACGTACTCGTAAAACAGCAGCTTAATGCTGCTGTGTTTCATATGGTGAGTGTGGAGAACCGAGGACCTTTACTTGAAACGAGGTTTTCTATCTTAGTCCTCAGGGTTGACACTGACAACGAATCTGAATTTTGATTATACATAAATCGGGGACAGATGTAGATGTCTATGATCACAGCAACCACTTACCATCAGGTGGACTGTGTGCTCGTTATATCACCGTTATTCTATTAAAATAAAAACCTGTTGGTAGCAGTCTTTTGCTAGTCTTATTTTTAATAACGAATGAAGTTACTAAATTATGAAGAAGGCCATGCTGATATTTAGCAGTCAACTAATTATGGTCTTGTAGCATTTAGAGCGTAACACCTCAGTTTTTTATTTACAACGGTTTTGCAAATTTTAAGTTTACTTATTATTCCTACGTCTCGTTTATTTATGTACCTATGAAGTTTATGATTAATGCTGTACCTAATCATTGTGCGCCATGGTTAGTTATCAAAATTAATTGGCACATCATAATTTAGGATGTTACTTGTGTTAAAATACTTATACTTATACACTATATGAGTTATGTTGCGGTTCACATTCTTGACACCCAGTCGCAACTAGGGTTACCAACGTTTTTAATAATAAATATTATATTTTAGGGACTGTTGATGTAAAATATAGTAGATGGCGAGGAAATAAATATTAGGTTAGGTATGTTTAAAATTAATGTTTTATTTTTACAGGAATATTTTTCTGCTCTATACTTCTTGTCGTATTAACAGATTCCTTTATAATGTAGGAGATTCGTCTACTATATACAGGGTTATTTTTCAAAGGGTAGCCAAATTTTAAACTTAAGTTCAAATATATAAATAATGATATACCGTTATTGCAGTTTTTGAAAATATGAGTAAATAAGGCTTCTACTTTCAGACTTTTATTTGAAACAAGGGTCGATTGGTAGGCAACCTTTTTTCTTACAAATGTGTGCGTACGCAGTAAAATTAGTTAAAATCAGACTCAGTTAAAAATATAAAAAGGACAGAAGGGTTGAGATTTTTTTAAATTAATTTTGCTTCACCATTTGCCTATATTACTTATTCTAAGCCTCTGTAAATATGGCCGGTTATTGCAAAATAACCCTGTATATTCTTTTTTAGAATTAGATAGACTCATATAGCATACTATATCATTATAAATTATTTTCAAATTATTTATATAAATAAAATTTTATAAAACATTTATAGAACACTGTAAGCAGTTAGAAGTAAATACAAAATGACACTAAAATAGATGAAGTATGCAAACCAACAGCAAAACTGTGTATCACGATACGACCAGAGATACAACACCGTCTCTACAAAATAACCTTAAATCGCCATCTTCACTTGTACTAAAAGAACTACCACAACAGTTCTTAGTTCGCTGTATTTTCTTTTATTTAATACCCTTTTTCATTACAATACAGTGGGATTGCCAACTCTAGTCGGATCCAACATTTGTGACAAATTAATGGGTCTGAGTCTACCTCCTATCTTACTGCATTAATAATCATAGTAACTTTCATAATATATGGCACTACAATAATTCCTGCGTAGTTGATGGCTTTCGAAAGAATTCGTAAGTTGTGGCTGCGGTCGATTATTCAATTATCCGAGAGGATATCAATTCTCTTGGATTCCAATCTTTTTGATTGATGTTTCTTTTAGTTTATAAAAGCTAATGAGGTCAACTGTTTTATTTGCGTTTACTGCGACAATGCTCTACAAATCTAAAGTAAGATGAGCCGTGTTCAAACGGCTCCAGTAGATATATTATTCAACAGTGAACTGGACACAGATTCATTATAATATGCAAATATTATACAGGCGAAAGAAATGTTTTCTTTTTATGTAAATTAAAGCACAAAGAAGAAAGTTGTAAAGCTACGATTCTTGTCTAATATGGAAAGAAATGTACCTATTGATTAAAATAAATTATTGATTATTATTGATATTTTAAGGAATATCATTAAATTTGCAGGTTAATTAATAAATGCGATTTCATAATAACAATCGGCAACTTTTTATATAACCTAAATGAACGTAATAATAGTTATTATAAAAACGCATAAAGCTATTTGGTGTCCAAAGAAAGTGTCATGCGATGGTCCAGTCCAGGGGAGTAGTAAGTATACCCTGAGAGACCTGAATCTTTCTGTCTCCGTTATGAAGTGTACGATATGCTAGCTGTTGTAGGACTCTTGAAAATTCTTGCTTTTTCTACACTTTGATCACTGCTTTAACTTCTACTTTCTTCTTCTTTCTCATTACTTACCAGATATCCAGGAAAGGTTGGTATCCATACTAATTGATTAACGGTCCGTATTGGTAATATACACGCGTATTGATGTTACTTTTTGATGCACTGATGATTAATTTGCGATTTTCAAAGTCCGCTGACAAAAATGATTGGATCACGTCTTGGGTTGAGGGTTACTTCTTTTACTAAGAGTTTTGTAATATTTCTTACGCAGTAATATATAACATAATGATTTCTGCAGTCTTGCCTCTTGGATATCCATACAAATAATGCGTTCATATAATGCCCTGACGAATAATCGGATGTTCTTGTTGATATAACAACTAAAAATGCATTTTTGCACGAAAGATATTGCCAAAATTCACATCGAAACCGTTTGAAATCGGCAAACCAAACGTAAAAAATCAACAATAACTTAAATCGTGATATCCACAAATGTAGGAAGGAAAATTATTCTAAATTTATATGACAACTAATTATAACGCAATATGAGTTAACTGGCGTGCTCAATATCAACAGTGCGTTGTGTATTCTGGTTTCTGACGGGAATTGTTTGTTTGTCAGTACGAATAACTCCGCAACTTGCGTAATATTGTTTCATTGTGTTAATATTTTGCAACCTAAAACAAAATAAAGAATTCAGCTTATAATCGCTGCTGATACAATTACACAATATAAAACAAAATCAAACGTCAAAACAAAGCCAATCCCGAACTTTGTACAACAGGGTCTAGAATAAAAACATTCGTAATAATTACACACAACGGTTATTACCATCTCGGTGGTCTCATGATCTAATTAATTCATGCTAATTCTTTTTCATGCTGCCAACTGACTCAAATTCATTTAAAATGTAATATTTTTTATGAACAAAAATAGAAATCAAATTAATTTAAAATGCTATTTTTTTTGGTTTTTTGGTAAATTTATGGCAAGAATAGCCAATGATAAAATGAAAGTTCTTAAAATACTTTTGAGCAAAAAATTAAGTGAATTTTTATTTTATTGTTATTCTATTCTATAAGGGATCCCATTGTGCAATAAAAAACTATGGTACCTAGCAAACATTTTCTTAAGAGCTAGACATAACTAGATCTAAGTTAGAAAAATTCAGGTCACTAAACATATTTATCGTATAATAGTGAATAGTCATTAATTAAAATAATCATGCCTATAAACTGTAAAACATCACGCAATAACTATCATCTATGTAGGTTCTAGTATGTAGGTGAAGGTATATATGGTGATGATTCAGATATCCCAGGGTACTACCTATCAAATGCCAGTTATTTTAGGGATATTCTGTACAACATTAACCTCTGGTGATACGCAATCCTTTTGCTCGTAAAATGAAACAAAAGCGTTTTACGAAATGTAAGAAAAGTGCTTCAAAAATGACATGATGTTTTTCAGTCATAAATCGACGATTATCATGATATCAAATACAAGAGAAGAATTATCGTGAGTCGACTACTTTACTTTACTTTAATGAAACAAATATCAAAATATACATTTTTTAGAAATTGAAAATTTGAGAACAATTCTAGGCCAATTTTTAACTTCCCGCTTTGACAATAAATAATTTTCAAAAGCAGGAAGTTATAGAATTCGGATTTTGGTCCGATTTCTAAAATGCGAGTTTTCATTAGATCTCCACGTTTTGAGGTCCTAGGAAACCTTTCCGACTATTCCCGGCTGGACGACCGATCGGGATGGGCGATACGGCTTTCGAAAGTGTTCATTGAAACTTCGAGCTGATTAGATTTTCGGTCGAGCCGTTTCAAAGATTTTCAAAAATTAAAAACAAAAAAAATAAAAATTAAATAGATTTTCGAGCGTTGCGGTCGATAAGCGGAAAATTCCAGGGATGGCCTGCAGAGTCAACAGTTTTTCAGATTTGTTTACAAATATCGAGTACCATATGATAAAACTACAAAAGCGCGCAATCGCTGACAAATTTTTGAATCCTATGCTTGTGATGAATATAGTTTTTTATTATTACATTATGTGTTTATTTTGAGATAATGTCATCTTTTAAACTTATAGGAATAATGTTAAACTAAGAAATTAAGAACTAATAAACTTTGGCATTTGAAAGGGATAGTCATAGTCATTGTTGTTAGTGAAATAATCCTAATTATAATTTCTAATCACAAAAACCGAAAGTTTTTGGAGAACTTGGATACCCCACTAAAAACGTAAATGTGAAATACACTTATCAGGCCTTAATAACCCAAGAACTATACATACTCGTATAAGAATTATATATGTATAATACGTTTTTTCTGGGATTCTAAGTATTCGAAGGTCGTTATTAGGTATTAAAAATAACAAGTATGTTGGTAGGTCTAATAGTTTTTGACATGTTTTTGAGTTGTCAGGGTTTCCAAAGTGCCTCGAAATGTTTCGTGTTCACACTGCCGCGTGTCTGGGATTAATAAATGTTCAGGAGTGTCCGTTACCCTTATTTAATTTTATCAAGAGTAGTATTACATTAATACAGAAAGTATTAGGCCTTTACCTTTGAAATTGCCGTTTTGTATGAGTAAATTTCTCTGTGTACGTAATTGATATATTGCGTGCCGATTGAGGCGCATTCTTTCTACGTCGGAACTAGTTTTCAATAACATCACGAGTTTTCTTGGTTGGTGCGAAA